ACTCCGCCGCCTGCGCCCCGCGCGCTCGCCCCGCACCGCGCCGCGCCCCCGCCCGCCGCGCGCCCCGCTTCCTGCTCGGCCACCCCAGGGGAGGAGCCTCCAGACCCTCTGTGACTCCGGGCGGCCGCAGCCCCTCCCCAAGGCCGGGGACTGCTTGGCCAGAAACCCAGAGAAGCGGCCCCCCGGCGCGCGGGTGGGGACCCCCGGCTCCGGTGGACCCGGGGATCCCTCCTTTCCCCTGAGCGGGGAGGGGGGTGGGGTGGGTCTCTGCGCTGAGCACTGCAGTGGGGTCGTGTCTTGCCCAGTTGGCCTGGGCTGGAAGGCCCAAAGCGAGGAGGCCTCTAGACTTGGCTGTTTTCTGTTAGCTGGGATGGCTGAGTTGTGGGGCAGTGGGGCACGGGGAGTGGGGTGCAGAGTTGGGTGGCTTTGGGCAAAGGGCTGCTTTTATCGTGGGTGGGGACGTGATTGCTTAGGAGGAGATGTTTTGATGTCCAGAAAAGGAGGCACGGTTTCTGTCTAGGGATGGACACAGTTTCTGTCTAGAGTTTAAAAAAAAAAAAAAGCCAGAGCTCAGAGTAGGGGGCCCACTTTGGGGAAAAGAATAAGGAGCCATAAATTGGAAGCCAGGATTTGTCAGGAAGAGACCTTTCTGGCCGTTTACTATGGCCTACCACAGGCCCAACCTTCCCTGCCCTGCAAAGGAGCTCCGGAGGGAAAGGAGCAGCTACTAAGGGGGCCCGAGTGACTGAGGCTTCAGAAGGAGGCTCTGTGGTCGCCAGACAGGTCTATACGCCACAGGATGTCTCAAGGACGGCCCACCCAGAGGACTCAGGCCAGGCTGTCACTGGAGAATTTGTCCATTGCCCTGAGACTGCTCTTAGGAGGAGGGGGTCTGTGAAAGGGTCCCTCACCCCCAGCACAGTGCTCCACCCCAACTGCTCACCTTCCAGAAGCCCTCCATTTCTGTGCCTCTGCCCCTTAGCAGGACAGCCGGATGGTTCTCAAACTTGAGTGTGTACCAGCATCCCATGGGGGGCTGGGGCTGATAGACTACGGGCCACCGGGGTCTCACCTGCCACAATTCCTGATTCAGTAGATCTGGGGCCGTTCTCAGCCCAGCTTCCTGTGAGAATCACCTGGGGAGTATTTTGAAAAACTACTGGTCTCTATACACAACCAAAACCAATCAAGTCAGATTCCCTAGGGACAGGGCGTGAGCCCTCTCAAAAGGAGCACACGCTAAGAGTTCCTCCGCTTGGTTTCTTATTTTTGCAGTCGTTTCTAAAGACTATTTGTTTGTGAATCTCTCACTTCTGTCTACTAACTACGGGCTTCTAAAGGGCAGGCATTGTATTTTACTCAAGTGGGTACCAGCTCTCAACCCCTAAGTGCCTGTCAGAGCACCTGAGTCCATTCCAAAGCGTTTGCTTCCTGGCTGGTATGGATAGTTCAGAGAGGTGAGACATGGCCCACCAGGTCTCTGAGAAGGATGGGAAAACGTGAGGTGAGGGCAAGCTAAGAGGGCACAAAAGCAGGAGAAGGAATGGGGAGGAGAGCTGTTTATCAGCCCCTGATTTTCTACAGCTAATTTTCCACCTTAGGGATTATTATAATCCCTAGTTGGCTTCTCTTGTCACTCAGGAGAGTTCACTCCATGTCCCCGTGTGATCCAGCAATCTGTGGACTGGGAGAATGTAAACTTATTTTATTATACTTCTCAGGGAGGAAAAAAATCACTCACACACAATTGAGAACATCACATCGCTTTATTTTAAAAAGTATAAGCCAAAGCCAAACATGAGTATATTCGAAGCCGGTAGCTTTCATGATTTTTATTGTATTTTTTTTTCACAGTAAATCTTTGGAGAATCCTAGTATGTATGAGAGAAAAGGTGTACATGCTTTCATCAGGCAGTTTGATTGTTCCGAAGAAATGCTTCCCTGTTTCAAGTACACATGAAACATGGACGGCCCTAGGGTTTCTCAGGCCAAATGAAGACCTCTGAAGTTTTTCTGGTGTTTTAGATTCTCCACACCACTACTCCCAGCTCTCCATATGAATGAGTAATTCAGAGCTGACTCTGCTCTTCCTCAAGGCACAGGGAATAACTTTTACTTTTATGTGTTTCCAGGTTCTGTCCTTGACGTTCTAAGGGAAAACTGCTGTTACTTGGACTGCTATCACAAATACCATAGACTGGGTGACTTAAGTGATGGACATTTATTTCTCATCATTCTGGTGGGTGGGAAGCCCAAGATCAAGGTGCCAGCAGATGTGGTTCTTGGTGAGAACGCTCTGCCGAGCATGGACCCCATATAGCCTTTTCTCAGTAGACACATGTGGGGAGAGAGAGAGGAGGGAAACTCTCTGGTGTCTCTTTTCATGAGGACACTAATGAGCGAGCTCCACCCTCATGACTTCATCTCAAGCAAATTACTTCCCAAAGCCCCCACCTCCTAATACCACCACACTGGGGGTTAGGGCCTCGATGTTAATTTTGGGGAAGTCCAAAACAACTGCTATTTGTTTTCCATGCTTCCTGCCCACTATCAAAAAGTAGCCAAGAAGTGTGGCATTTAGTGTCATATGATCCACACTCTTCTTTCTATGCTTTTCTTGCAAAACAAACAGGAGTTAAGACTAGATGGGTTATGAGTAAGATTTCTGTAATTTCTTTGGGACCCCTTTTGAGCAGGTAACGAGGCCCAGAATCATTAATTTCTGCTGGCCAAGAAAGTGTTAGTCTCTCTCAGCTTTGATGAGAAGAGCTGAGATCTCAACAGAGATGGGAGTTAGTCAGCATAATGTGTTGGAGGGTGCTGAGGCTGGATGGAGGAGGGTCAGCCCAACTAAACCCTATGGATAAAAAGTGGAGGAGGGCTGGGTTTCCAGAAGAAAATAAAAACCCTCATTCCAAAAGAAGGGATGTATTAGTCAGCTTTTGCTGGGATAATACAGTGTAACAAAAAAACTCCAAACCTCAGTGAGTTGGGTCTGGTTAGCTGGGTTCTGGTCTGCTTCACCTATCTTTTCCTTTTGGGACTTAGGCTGAAGGAATATGTTCGACTTGAGATATATGGTTCCCTAGGAAGCCAGGAGGTCAAGAGAGATGAGTAGAGACACATGAGGTCTCTTAAAACCTCTGCTTAGGACTCTCACACCCTCACTTTCACTCACAATCCATTGGGGAAAGCAAGTCATATGGCCAAGTCTGAAGTCAGTGGGACTAGGGGAAGGACAAGGAGGGAAGGGAGAATTCTAAACAAGTAATACAATCTACCACAAGAAAAAAATGGATGCTGGATATACAAAAATAGCAAATCTGTCAGGTCCTTCATAATTTAACATTTCACAATGTATAACAGAATGGGATGTGATGAAAAGTAAAAAAAAAAAATACAGATGGATGAGGAAGCATAATTAGATAGGGCAAGAGATGAAAATGAGTTTTAGAATATATCAACTAAAATATTCTAGAATGTAGCAGAACAAATCATATATAAAACTTATGAATTGATGGTATTAAACATGAATTAATAAATTTTGGAAGAGACTCAAAAGTGGGTTGCCATCACTACTTTGAAGACTGCGTCTACAATGGAGGGATATTTAGGGGCTGGGAATGGAGAACCAAAGCCCGATGGAAAGGCAGCCTATTTGGGTGGAAAGTATACATTTGGAATCAGGAATTTTGGGATCCAGTCCCATACCTGACTTGTTCTAGCTATGGGACTTGACTAAGTCACTCACCGTCTTTGAGCCTGCGTGAGCATCCGTTTTTACTGATTTTTACAGTGAATGCCAATTTTACATTAAAACAACATGTGTTATAGACTAGGATTCAAAGACATTCATGAACTTCATTTGAAAGAGTACTTAGAAGAATTTTATAGACTTGTAGGCAGACCCCTGTGGGAGTCTGCTTTCCTCCTTTTGTGTTGTTAGAGGTCTTTCAATGGGGACATTTGAGAAGCATTGATTCAGACCATCTTTTTTGCCCTCGGACTGGCCACCCATTGGCAAGAGTTTGGCAAATGACAGCCAACAGGGCCTGCTGCCTGTTTCTGTATGCCTTTCAAGTGAAGAAGAATTGACTTCTTTTAAGAGTTTTTAATTGTGGTAAAAAAAAAAAAAAACAACATAAAATGTACCATTTTTTTTCCTCTTCTGAAATGGTACATGCCACTTCCACTAATATTTCATTGGTCAAAGAAAGTCATCTGGCCAAGCTTAACATCAACGATGTGGGAACTGTAATGCTCCTACAGGGAAAGCCTGGTAAGGAGGAGCTAGTAGGAAACAATGATGAATGTTTTCACATTAGTATAATCTATCCAAGAATTATTCAATGCTACAAGTTTTTATTCAGTCACTCTTGCATTCTCACACTTACTTAATTCTTCCTATACTCCTTCAAAACTCCAATACTTCCTATCCCATCCTACTCCCTGTTGATGACCTTGCAATCCCATTTCACTGGGAAAAAAAATCAAAACAATTAGAAGAGAAATCCCACATGATCTCCCTACCTGTCTACCTGCTTTTGTAGCCATATATGCTACCTTCCCTTGGATTCACTTTCCATGTTCCTACTTAGGGCTGACCCTTCATTTGTCTACTCCATCAGATTGCCTCCATCTACTCAAACTCATTGCCCCAGCTACTCTTTAATCGCTTCCACATTGTCAGTTTCTACTCTGTACTGGACTATTCCCAACAGCATGCCAGCATGTTGTAATTTTTCCAATCTTAAAAAAAAAATACACGACACCTTGACCACATTCCCTCTCATGATACGCCTCTATTTTTAGTTCTCTTCTTTGAAAGGGTGGTTTATGCATGCGGTCACTATGTTCTCCCTTCTAATTCTCTCCTGAACCCACTACTCTATCAATGCCTCAGTGACCTCAGTGTCGTTAAGCCAATAGTCAGTTTTCAGTCCTCATCTTCCTTGACCCATCAGCAACCTGGAAATTTCTCCGCATGTCATTTATAAATGTACACATACCTGGTTTTCATTCTCTCTGACCACTGCTTCTCAGTGTTTTTTGTGTTCTCCTTGCCATTTCCCTGATTCCTCCATGGCGGAGAACTTTAGGAAGCAATAATGGATTTTCTTTTCTCTGTCTCATACTCTCTCCCTTGGTAAGTTCATCCAGTCTTATGATTTTAAGCACATTCTACTCATTGTTCTCTCTCAAATTTATAACTTATGCTTGTACCCCTCCCATTAATTCCATACTTGTAAATCCCATGCGTATTTTACATCACCAAGTGGATCTCTGATAAGCATTTTTAATGTAATATGTCCTAAAATCATCTCAAACCTCCCCCAAACCGCTCCTCTTATAGACTTTCTCATCTTAGTAAGTGGCACTTCTATTCATCCGTGTATCCCAGCCAAAAACCTGGCGCCTATTCATGATTCTCCTCTTTCTTTCCTTTAGAATACCTGTCTGACCCACCCACAAATTCTGCTAGCTCTACCCTCAACATATACGATCACTTCTTTCAAGTACACAGTGCAATTCAGTGTGTTCCTGTTGTTATGCAACCAATTTCTAAAACTTTTTCATCTTGCAAAACTGAAGCCGTAGATCGATTGAACACAGCCTCCCACTCTCCCTTACCCCATCCCCTGGCAACCATCATTCTACTTTTCTATGAATTTGACTACTTTAGATATCTCATGTAAATGGAGTCATACAGTGTTTATTTCTTCATGACTGGCTGATTTCACATGGCACAATGTCCTCAATATTCAGGCATTTGTATCACGTGACAGGACTTCTTTCCTTTTCAAGGCTGAATAATATTCCATTGCATGTCGATACCACTTTTTTTGTAAAAAACCATGCATCTGTTGATTGATATTTGGTTGCTTCCACCACTTGGCTATCATGAATAATAAGAATTTACCTTTTTAAACTGTTGAAAACAAATCAAAGGAAGAATAATATGTTATAGCATGTAAAATTATATGAAATTCACATTTCAGTGTCTATAAACAGAGTTTTATTGGAACATAGCCACGCTCATTCACTTACATGTTGTTTAATGCTGCTTTTGCACTGCAATGGCATAGTTGAATATTTGTGACAGAGACTGTGTGGTCTATCAAGCTGAAAATATTTACTTTCTGACTCCTTACCAGAAGAGGTCGTCAACCCCTGGCATAGGGCATCTGAGACAAATGAGATTCTGCTGTTTTGGTTTTTGGTTTGGTTTTAACTGCATTTTCTTCCATGTTCCAGAGAAAGCCCTTCCTTGGCACACTGGGTAAAAATCTTAGTGCCTTTAACACACTTCACATCCAGGAACTTCATATTCAGAGGAAACCAAGTTGCTGTGCTTCATTTAATTCCTCTTATTTGGTCTTCTGACAAGGTGGAAAATACGGTCCCAGCATCTGAGACAGCCTTTCAGGCCCTTCTCTCATCTCTGACCAGATCTATGCCTTTGTTCCTGATGATTCCCAGCCCTGGTTACACATCAGAACCAACGTACCAGGGCCTCAGCCCTGAGAGTCTGAGGTTGAGCCTAGGAATCTGTGTTTCTCCACCCAGACAACCTCTTTCCTCATGAAACCTTTATAAATGTCTTCTTCATCCTTTGGAGTCAGCTCAGACCCCATTTCCTCTGAGAAGTCTTCCAAGATCCACCAGATGAAGTACAAGGCCATTTCTCCTGAACCCCCAGAGCATAGTGTTATGACTTAGCATTATTTATATGACTTGTTACTCTGCCCCCCCCCATTCCATCTCTGTATCACCAATGCCTGCCCCAAAATGCTAATTTGTTGCTGTGGAATCAATCAATTCATCAATAATACTTTTTTGGTTGGATTGTTCAGCGTATTGTTAATACAAGGAATGATATACCACAAAAGATTGTGAGTGATGTTGGACAGTACTGACTGAGATGTGAACAATCACCGGGAGGAAGACAACTGACGACTCTCACAGGGCATTAAAACTGATTCCCAGCCTCAGATCTTTTAATTTCAAGACTCATTGAAATTCATTAACACTGCAACCTCCATATCCACCCCAAGTTTACGTTGCATCAGTAGAGGGGAAGGGAGAATAAAATACAGTGTTAGGGTGTCACAACTCCACCAACTGTGAGTCACTGCTGTAATTTCCAGGATGAGTGAAGCGGAGACACTGTGCTGAGCTGCTGGTCAAAATCACTTCCTTCATTGTAGAGATGTGGCGTCCAGAAAGATGCAAATGGTCTTGGGCCTTTTCTCTTTCAGTGATGCCCAGAGTTCCAGTGTAAACAACTGCTTTGGATTTTAAATGTGTAGATCGAGAAAAAGAGGGTATTTCAATCTCTTGTTTTGATCCTACGGGTTGCATACGACTTTGTAGGAAACTGCAATCCTTCTTTTTCAGGCAGCATCAGACAGAGGAAGCCCAGGAGATACCTGGTGGGTGGGTAGGACGTCATGCTGTGCATTAATGGCAAAGATGGGTAAGCGGCTATTTAGGGGGTTTCAAAACTAACTCCTTAATGGTAGAAAAAGCTAAGGGACCGGAGGTTGATTATCACCTTTTAAAAATCCCTGAAATTCAAAAGAGAATAGTAATTTGAGAGCAGGAAAGGAAGGCCAGGGGCCACAACTAGGCTTGCCAGAGATAATAGTAGAGTAGGAGTCTTCAGAGCAAGTAAAACTCCAGGGCCAACCACAAATGATTCAATCCTTTCTCAAGGGTCTATTTGCATGGGTTGATAGGCTTTGTCTGGGGAGGCTGGAGCCAAGTGAGAGATTTGACACAAAATCAGAATAAATGAAGTTGTTTCACCTGGAATTTCAGGATATTCTGAAACCAAGTACTTCTTCCCCTTGGGGCCCAGCACACAGATGGGGAGAGGGCGTTTTCCCCACATTGGCTCTGAACCTCGTACTCCTTGCAATCAAGAGGAAGCCCCCAAACAAGGAAGTCAGATAACTCATGCCCCTAAGACACAGGGGGACACCTTTATTCCCTCATGTTTCTGTCTGGGAGAATCTCTAGTAGGAAAGAGAGAGAGAAGGTCTCTGACTGGCAAGTGTAGGAGAAGAAACTTCAATGTTTGGCCCAGCTCCTTCCTTCTTCCTCTTTGGATCCAGCTTGTCTGGAGAAGATACAGTCTCTGTTCTCCACACCGGGCGATGCTTCCAGTTTTCCAGCTTGGCCCAGCTAGGTAAGTTTAATCTGGGAATGAAACTACATCTAGCCAACTGTGCTCATCGACGGAAGGTTCATCATTCACTTTAGCTTTTGTAGTAAGACTATCATTTGGATCTCTATCCATCTGGCTCCTGTGCCTCTATCAGTTGGTTCTGAGATGGGACAGGAAAGAGAGGTGTTATTTATTGGGCTGGGGGTCTATCCAGCCAGCTCATGCTAGACACCGCTCTTGGAATTCCAAGCAATAACTCGAGAATACTGTGTTTGCAGGGGAGAGGGGCACAGTATTGAGTTCCCACAGGAGCAGGCAGAGGTTAGACAATGTCACAAATGAGGCATCCCTGGTCACAGGGCCTCACGTGTACCCACAAGTAGATGAGGCTATGAAGTAACCCAGAGATGGAAGAGAAGAAAAACACTATTCTGCAGGCTCCTGTCAGGAACCAGGCACCGTGGTTTGTAGGTAAGGGAAGCTGGGTGATGTTGTACTATTGAATTAGCTTTAAACTAACTTCTGTAGGGCTCTGTGAGCGCTCTAAGGACAGACGCTAGGGTGAAATGAAGGGGAGTAGCATCTTTTCCCTGGAAAATGTCAGTAAAAACTCTTACAAAGGGGGTGAGACTTGATAATATTATATTCAGCCTCCTTCATCTCCATAGCAATGTATATTTGTTGAATAAATACCATGGATACTCAAGGAGGAAAAATTATTATTAGAGAATGTATATAATGCCTCAGTCCAAAAAGTGCCATTGAGAAGATGAACTCAGTCGGCCCTAATAGCATGAATCCTGTTTTATATTTGATACAACCTGAGGAGTAGAGATATTAAGTGATTAATGAGTTCAAGGTCACATAGTAAATGACAGACTGCAATTAAAATCCAGATTTTCTGACCAAAATATAAATCCTTTCCACTAATCTTTGCTGTGTTACAACAGAGGACCACGGGACCTAAAGAAAAAAAGGCCAAGAAGGAGAGGTGGGGAAACCACTGGCAGGTCAGGTCCTACCACTAACAAGTCTTCCTGCATTTTTTAGTTTCAGTCTCTGTGCCTGGAAAACGGTGAGCCAAGGGCATTGGACCAGAAAGTGTCTAAGACTCTGACATGCTATGAAGATCCTGGATGGTTCTCCGTGTTAGCTCACCTATCTCAGTAATTCAAAGCAATTCTGACTTAGGAAGCCGGTGCCCAGAATCTGCTCAGTGGAAGGTGGGGCATTCAGTCTGTTACCTAGAGCAGCAGATTGAAAACTTTAACCAACCTATAGCAGGAAATTAAGTTTACGTCTAAACCCGATGCACATGTACATGGACTTGAAACAGGTTTCAGAAAATAGTTTTTCTTCTTAACTTCTTTTTTAACATTTACCCTATGATACCTTATGACATTTTCTATCCTATTTATTTGTTTAGAAGATGTTGGTTAAAGCCCGCCGATCTGATTTTATGACCCATGAATGGTATGAGACACACAGATTGGGAAGCTGAAAACTGAGAGGTGGGACAGAGCATGGGAAGACAGGATCGCAGAAGCCAGAGAGAGCAACAAAGAGAATTGGCTATCATGCCAAGGGAGAGTACATGGCTGTGTGCGTATGAGCCGGCGTCCTGCTAAACATCCCTTCATGCTCTCACATCGTCAACTATCACACCAAGCGCTTTCCCACCTCTGCCGAGAAGGTATCTTCCCCAAATGCAATATTTAAAGGGTACTTTTGAGCGTCCTAGCTTGGTTTATCCCTGGCTTGACTTATCAGCTGGTCAGTCAACAAGTTTCTTGAGGAGCACTTCACCTGTGTACACAGCAGGCTGCTATACTTACCATGGGGGGAATGTGATATTTTAAGGGGGTGGCACATGACATGGTCAGAGGGTTGCCGGGTAAAGGCTGATTTAGGTAGTGGTCTATGGATGGCATCACCTTTGATGGTGTGAGCCTCCACCAAACCACGCTGCTGCTTCCTGTTTATCTGTTTAGGACAGATTTCTTGGTTTAGAAAGTGGGCCTAAACTTCTGCACGTGGTCCTTTGGTCTTGGTCCTCACCACACAAGGCCTCATATTTAGCTCTGATATTATCACCAAATGATCTTATTTATGCAGTTACAGAGATAGCCTGACAGACTCCATACAAGGCATTCATTGCACATCTTTAAATTTCCATCCTGTTCTCCAAATACCCTGCTTAAAGTGCACTAATATTTTTGTGGGTCCATAATTTATATGCTGCTAGCACAGTAATAGTATATTGTGTTTTCTATGTAAAAAGCTACAGTTGGTTCAAGGCAAACAATGAAAATACACCACAAGTTTTATAACTGTCTTTTAGCATTTGTTCAGTTTGCAATATACTGAGAACCTCAAAAAATGGTCATGGTCTATGCCTTTCTCAACTATGAGAGGCCCACCCCCAAAATTTGGTGACACCATTTTCTTGGAACATTTGCAAGTGAATTCACTTATAAGAGAGAACATTCGTTTCTCAGAGTGGCTGATATGCTTACCTCTCCTGCCCAGAGGATCCTCCTAGATAACGAGAAAGCCAAGTTAACATTTGAGAATTTGTTGCTTGGTGATCGATAATTAAAGTACTATGAAACGAATATCTTATCATAGAGGGTACTCTCTGGAAACCAGAAAATGCTCATTCCCCAAATACATTGTCCCCAACTCTACATTCTGTTAGACAGTAAAGCCAAAGATGGCCTTTCTCTTTGTGCTCCATTCTTATTTCTAAGTGTATTTATTTATTTATTTATTTAAGAGAGAGAGAGAGAGAGAGAGAGAGAGAGAGAGAGAGAGAGAGAGGGAGACAGCACGTGTCAGTGCATGCATGGACACATAAGTGGGAAAGAGTCAGAGAGAGAGGGAGAGAGAGAGAACCCCAAGCAAGCTCTGGACTCACAGTGCAAACCATGAGATCATGACCTGAGCTGAAACCAACAGTTGGAGGCTCAACCAACTGAGCCACCCCGGTGCCCCATCTTTGTGCTCCATGTGCTTTCTTCAGACATTAAACTTCAGTCAAATAGCTGTTCCAGGAGACCATGAAGATATCTGTTTTCTTCCCATCACATGTAGATTTAATTTGTTTAGTTTAATTTTCCAAGAGAAAACTTACTGCCAAGCCTCAGGTTCAACCTCCCTATAGGTACCACACACTCCCAATATGACACGGTACAAAAAAAAATAGACACCATACCTGACCTTGAGGATTTGCCATGCTAAAATTGTAGGTTAAATCAAGAAATCTGTCCTAAACGGATAAACTGGAAGCAGCTTTGGTGGTTTGGTGGAGGGACCCATGGATTCAACAGCCTAGGCTTTCTTCCCAGCCCTGTCT